TATGGTCGACGACAAAATGTTAGGTGATGATCACATAATATTTTTTGGATGAAGTGGACCGAAAACTTAATTATTTTTACTTTTCGAGTCGAAAGTCGAACATCACAACACAACCCACAGTGAAGGGAATCTGGACTAGTAATTAGAGGGGCTGTACTGATTATTAGGAACATTTGCTGACCTCTAGCCCGTCAAAAGTGTGCAAATATCGCGAAATATTGCCCAATCTCAGAATATAGAACCACAGAAAGTTAGATTTTCATGGAAGTTGTGTAGGGTATCGTATGGTCGGCCCCGTCCGACTATACTGCTCCGCTCACTGGTTTTTAATTGTTCTTGGAGATATCATGAATTTATTGCAGTATAGCTTATCCTGGACTAATAAAATGATTTGAGGATTAAGGGCATATTTTACAAAAGAACATTTGGCATCTTAGCATTAACAACAATGATTACATTTTATAACATAACAATTATTATTAATTTCGAAATTTAATTACATCTTCTTTATTGGATATTATTTCCAGGGAAATAACACCATCAGTAGGGCTAATAATGTGAGAGCTTATTTGTTATAAAAATAGCAAGCCATCAGCAGTAAATTCTTGTACCGCAAATATGACAGAATACAAAGGATGGCCAACAGCTGAGTCTCACACTGAGACCAGTTGCACATTGTCATACAATTTCCCCATAATTGTGACATTAAGTGCGTTTTTTGTAATTTATACGGAGTATCAGAAAAATATAAAGTTTTTATTTCTTATTATAGAGAAGAAGATGGAGAAAAACAGTAAAACTTTGTTAATTATGGCCAATAAAAATTGCATTCAATCTATATGGGAAATACACTCAAATAAATATCTGTTTAGGAGTAATGAAATAAAAAGAAATAACAAAAGGAAAAAATGGTGATATATCGCCAAAATTAAAAAGCGTGATTTTTGAGTTAAAGATGTAGAATTGTTTGCCATATGAGAGTTCATGTTGTGTAAAAAAATTCCGATGAATATATTTTTCATAGAAGCTGTAGAAGTTCCTTTGTTTCTTGTAAGGTGTGATGTAGCTGAAATCTTTAAACACATTTTCGGTAACATTGATTTTTAATTTATGCCGATCTTGTAAGTAATTTTCCTGGATATTTGAAAACTGAGATTTTACTCTCTGAGCCATTATAAGTGGGCTCTAAGATTATAAATTTATATTGAACATTACATCTTTATATGTTATACTGGACATAAATATTACTTCTTGAGCCACACTGATTTTTCATTGCCTTCGCACCTCCTCATTTAGAACACTACTGATTTTTCTCTTTCACCGCAAATTTAACATATATTTTTTCTCGAGTGTATTTAACTGTTTTTGCTTCTTCGATTTTTTCGTTAACACACCCCATTTGAACATGAGGCTGGCCCTTCACAATAACAAAAAAATAATCGAATAAGAACATTTTTGTTCTGTTTTCTCAATTCACTTTGTGGCGATATTCTCGAAGAGCTGGACATATAAAGGGACAAACCCACAAAACTCCATTGCAGTCATGGTGACAGAATGGAAGCAGATGAAATGAACCAGGCTGGACAAGACAAAAAAAGGCTCGACAAGACAACGGAGAACATTCAAATCAATTTGAAAGTATATTAACTTTAATGTCTGGACAACGATATTGTTCGTATTACTTGTGGTCGGGGATACAAAAACCATACGACAACGACGCTCTGACGCCAAATACAAAAATATGTGTATGGACTTATGGCAAGGTCGTACAGCGACCTTCACCGCAATGAAGATCAATCTCTTAGCCATGTTAAGATGTAATGAATCGGAATAACGGTGATGCTGTTGTAATGTTCAAAGGAAGAAGTATGAACAACATTGTATTGGTGTTGGTTGCGGTTTAACGGCTATTTTAGTATTTTTAGATATCAATCGAAAGATTTTTAATCTGATTTCGCTGGAAAATTCTTGTCAAGAGTATTTTCTGGGGATTATTTATTTTTTGCTTTTGAATTATCAGTGATTGGGTTTATAAATAGCAATATTTCTTTCAAATTTTAAGATGGGCAAAATTCGAAGATTGGAAAAAATCGATGATGGAAAATTGGTACACTTCTTCTGGTAATCCACAAAATGGTAAAATTGTTATTACCAAGCCTAGAAAAAGTCCGAATATGGGACCCAGTGGTCCCCTCCTTCTGGTACCTTCCCCACAAAGGGTCAACATTTTCAATATTTTTAACTCAAATTCATATTAGGATAATGAAATGTCCTATTTGATGCTAAATATGCACATCGAAATATTTCTTTCAAACTTAATTTATGTAAGAAGATGACAAACATCGGTTCACTCTTTCTGGTACCTTCCACACACAAATGGTCAACATTTTGCTGAAAATTAATTTCATATTATCGTGTGACTATCCGATTTGAACTGAACTGTACCCAACCTAATATTTTAACCATCCCTATATAATGAACCAACTATAGAGGAATAAGTATCCTTCTCATCGCATATAAAGTACTACCAGCGTGCTGTGTGAAAGCCAATGGCCAATGACATTATTGGACCATACCAATGCGGCTTCAGGCCTGGCAAATCAACCAGTGGCCAGATTTTTACTCTGCGTCTGATCCTGGAAAAGACCCACAAAAAACACATCGACATATTCCATCGACATAATGGGTCGAATATTGCGAGCGGTTACAGCCACCTTTGAACGAAATAAGAAGGACTGGCAGTAAATGGCGAAAAGGCCAAGCTGATGGTATCAGAGCGCAAGATGGCCATTAGACTCGGACCAACTGTGGAACATGAACACTACAGCTTCGAGGTGTTGAACGATGTAATATACCTCGGTACAGGCTATATAACATCAGCTTTGATAACCGGAGGAGAATAATGTTGACCAACAGATGCTACTATGGTCTGAGTAAGCAACTCAAAAGCAAGGCCACCTCTCGCCAAAACAAACTCACACTCTACAAGACACTTATATTACCCGTGCTTTTGTATAGATCTGAAGCATGGGTACTTGCGCAAGCCGTTGAGCTCTTGAGAGTGTTTGAGAGACAACATTTTCCGGAAGATCTATGGGCCGATCTGGGTCGACGTTGAATATCGTCGTCCCAGAGCTATACCAGCGACTATGTTGGCTAGGCCATGTTGTGAGAATGGATGAAGATGTACCAGCTCAAAAGACATATAAAAGGCTATATAATGTTTGGAGATGGGCCTATCCTAACCACTCCTTCCCGTAGTTCGACCACAAAGGATCAACACTTTGAAAGCTTGTAATTCTCAGATGGAGCAAACGGAAATTTTCATTTTATCAAAACGTTACACATGGTAATATATTTACCTTATATAGATTAAGCTTAAAGATGGATATTGAATATTTGCTATTATACGTATGGTATAGGACATAACCAGTTAGCGGAGCAGTAAATTCGGACGGTGCCTACCATACGATACCCTACATAATTTCCACGAAAATCTAACTTTCTTTGGTTCTATATTCTGAGCTTGGTCATTAGTCATTTTTCACACAAAAGACATGACCTATTGGCCAGCTAAATATTGACCGATCTTTATCAAAACAGGCATGCTTGTTCGTTGGCCTTATCCCCTTCTCCATGTAAACATTCGCGATGTTTGGGTCATAATTGCGGCCTCCAAGGTGACTAGAAAATCAGACAAAAATAAATTTTTGGTCCATTTCATCCCCTAAATATTAACCGATCTTCATTGACCAGAACCCATCCTACATGCAAGATTTCGTGAAGATTGGTCCATAACTGTGTTTACAAATTCGGACGATATCGGACTATATCGGACGGACACACATGTCTAGATCGACTCAGCTATCGAGATATGACGATCGGTATACTTAAAGTTGGCTCTAGGACCAATATTTCGCGACGTTACAAACTCTTGGGGCTGCACAAAGCTATAATACCCTGACAACATAGTTGTGTAGGGTATAAAAACTCCGCCTCGGCCGAACTTAACAATCCTTTCCACTTGCGTTGTCTTTTTAATTTATCAAAAGTGTTGGTTAAGTATACAGTGAAAAAAATCTACAAGTCGAACAGACAACCGCAATCCTATCGGAATTGACAATGAAAAAAAAATTGAAAGTTCTATCAGATGTATTTTAAAACAGAATTATTAAAAATTAAAAACGATATGACATTTTTCAAATTATTTCTTAATAACTGCATAATGCACTTCCTCCAAAACACAGCTAATTTGTGCATGTCGGCATCTTTTATCATCGTTATCATCATTTTAAAATATAGCAAAATTATTTATATAAATCAAATCTACAAAAACAAATGGTATTCGAAATCATTAACTCGAGCACATGGCAAAATATTGATTATTCAAAAATATTCAGTAGTGGAGCAAAGCTAATAGCAACAATAAATATTGAATTTGGTGTTGCTGTTGTCATCCATAGATGTTTATGCAAATTGTGGAATTGTTTTTTTTATTTTTTAGTGAATGACAGATGGTGTTTTGTTGGTGAATTTATTAATATTGCTATATTTCTACAATATATACATAAAAAATCAATATATGTGATGATGAACTTAAAACACCCTCAATTTTCTCTCGTTTAGGTTTTGTCATCATTTCTTCAAACTATGGAAATTTACAAATATCATATAGATTCACACCAATTCAACCGATTGATTTATAACCTAGAGGAAATCATTAAAAAACAATATTAATTAATTATTATGCACCAATCAAATGGTGAGACGGAACCATAATTTAAACTATGGCAAATTGAAAAAAATAAAACAAATCGAATAATGTCCAATATCTATGCACAAATTTGTGATCATGCATATTTCATCAGAGCTAAAAGCAAATTTTAAAAATAAAAAAATAAACAAAATGTGTATAAAAATAAAATGTTTATTGAATAAAAATCATTCTAATTTCGATTTTAATAGAATAACTAACAATAACTAAACTAGAACTGAGGAAAATGCGTGCCTTTATTGTCTTGTGTTTGGTAGCTGCTGCCTGTGCTCAATCCGGCTATAATTATCAGGCTGGTATCAGTGGTGGTAATATTGGTGCTTCCTCTAATGTTGCACCCACCTTTACTGCTGCCTCATCGGCTGTCCCCTCATTTTCATCCTCTGGATCTGAATATGGAGTTTCCGAAAATGTAGGTGCCCCTTCTAATACCTCTCCCGTTCAAGCTGAATTGGAAAAGGAATTCTACACCTTCAGCGCCAATGATGAGGATTTCAATGACCCAGCTGCCTCCAATCAATTCAACAATGCCGTCAAACAAGGTCTTCGTGTTATCTTCATTAAGGGCCCTGAAAATAATGGTTTGGAAGATGCTGCTCTCGCCTTGGCCAAACAAGCTGCTGAACAACAAACCGCCATCTATGTTCTCAACAAACAAGCTGATCTTTCCGATTTGGCCAACAAATTGAACAATGCCAATGATAATGTCAACCACAAACCTGAAGTTCATTTCGTCAAATATCGTACCCCTGAAGATGCTGCCAACGCCCAAAAGGCCATTCAGGAACAATACAATTCCTTGGGTGGTACCAGCCAGAGCTTCAATGGTGGTGTTGCCCCAGCCTTGAACTTTGCTTCCCAAGCTCCAGTTGCTCCTGCACCAGCAGTTGCTGCATCAACTCCTGCCACTAGTGCCACATATTTGCCTGCTTCTATTTTCCGTCGCTTCCGTTTGTAAATGTTTGGTTGTCTAGGTTGTTATTGTTGTTAAAAATATACGATTTAAAAAAATAATTAAGGATTTTATTATATTATGGAATAGTTGGGTTAATGGGTGTAAAGGTCACTCCTCTAAAATATCAAGCCAAAAGCTGGCTAAATTAAAAACGAAGGTCCCCTAATATATTGTCAATTGATTTTGGTATAGGATAACTATGAAACTATAGACCGATATTTGGTGTTATGATGGGAAATTCCGTTGGGACTTTCATCATAGGGAAAATGGCGTGGGGTCTTTATATGTGGGCAATGTCAAAGTATGTACCTATATTAAAAATTTTCTAAAAAATATTTCTAAACCCGAAAAGAACGCAGGATCAATATTGGGACCATAAATATTTTAAACCAGTAAGGAAAGAAGTAAAGTCGGACTGGGCCGACTATATGATAGCCTTCATCATTTTGGGTATATTCTACATATGTATTCTAAAAGACGTCGCCTTTACGAAGGTACATTGACATGAAATTGAACGAACTTAAATATGTGTTCTTTAGCTATATACAAACCGACTAACATCAACCCCTACACATGTCATTCTGCAACCTATGCTAAATTTTGTAAATCGATCAACACAAACAAATCAAACACCCATTGATTATTTGGTGTACAATTAACATGTATAAGTCGAAATTATATATGGAAGCTATGCTATATCTATATCTGAACCGATTTCAAGCAAACTTGCCAGACATTAATTTATATTAACTTTAGTACGTTGTGTTAATCAGCCTAGCTAGGGTCTTTAGTGCACCATTTACATAAAATCGTACGAAAATATATATAGGAGGTGTCATTCTACACTTAATTCAGTATACCAAAATTTGTGCAAATATAATGATTTTCAGGGACTTTGGTGCACCGTTTACTTAAAATCGGACGAAACTATATATAGGAGCTATATCTAAATCTTAACCGATTTTCATTCGTGAAAATATAATGATTTTCAGGAATTTTTGTGCATCATTTACCTAAAATCGGGGGAAACTCAATATGGGAGCTATATCTAAATCTGAGCACACATCATTTTCGACTTAATTCAGCACGCTATGCCAAAACACGTGCAAATCTAATGATTTTCAAGGCTACTTCGATTTTAACGAAATTTAGCACACATCTTTTTCGACTTAATTCAGTACGCTATGCCAAAACACGTGCAAATCTAATGATTTTCAAGGACTTCGGTGCACCATTAACCTAAAATCGGACGAAAATATATATGGGAGCTTTGGGTCAATCCAATGGGCTGTGCCAAATTTCATCCAATTCGGATCATAAATTCGACCTGTACTTTGCTCACAAAAATACATGGACGGACGGACGGACATGCATAAATCGACTCAGAATGTGAACAATGGGTCTATCTCGATTCCTTTTGCCTGTTACAAACATATGCACAAATACATAATACCCTATACCACAGTGTGGCGAAGGGTATAAAAATCAAACAATGGTATGGTATATCTAAATTGTATATCTATTGAACAAATCTTCCTTAATATAGGTTCAGTTTAGGCCAAAGAAGACCCCTATTGCAATGTAGTGATCGGTTATTATTTAGGGAATGGAATGGACCAACAAGCTTTCTTTTTGTCAGTTTTCTTTTTGTTAGTGGGTCACAGGCTTTCGTGTAAAAAATTGCAAATTTTGTATTCCATGCCGTATATATTTGAATCTGAAGAATATAGACCCGAGAAGTTTATACTATATCAAAGAGGATTGGTTTACCATTAATGATTATCCATTTTATTGATGTACGTATTATGATGTGAGAGTTATACTTAAACTTTATCGGGGTCTTTGTCGCACTAGAGGGCGGAAATGTAACGCTGATGAATATTTTAGTATAACATTTTAACCCCCTTTTCCTGAAGTGATTGAAAACTCATTCAAAATGGATTTAAAGCGGCTCAGAATATTCTACAGAAATATTCGCAATAATGTTTTAATATAAGACTCATTAGACTAAAACCCAAAAATTAGCCTAAACTTCAAAAAACTTCAAAAATCTGAAAAAAATCATTTTAGGGTTAAAATCGTACTTATTACTAGATTTTACCTATGTGGAATATGTGGGGCAATGCGAACAACACCAACTGGGGTCTTGGAGATAATATTATATATACATCCAATAGACATCTAAATAAAATATGAAGCGGCGGTTGCAGCCTTAAGACTTAACGCAATGGACGAGTGAATAGTCACCGGACACAACACATCGCACAAAAACATATTACAGGCAACTACTGAGTCAACCTTCAATACATTTGATTCAGACCACATACCTGAAACGAGAGTAGTGACACGGTGCGAAACTATAATACCAAATAGAGAACAATGGAATAGCGGAACACTAGTTCAGATGCCGCCTGGTAGTTCAGATACCGCCTGGATGGCTCTCGATTACGAGGAAAAACTGGACTGGGACTTTTTATCGAAGAACCGGTTACCGAAATTTCTCTTCATCTTACAGATCACAGCACGATCTTATAGGCGGAGGTTCAAGCTATAACAGAGTATTTTAATTGGTTAATTTCAAACCAAGGACAAAATACAATAAATATTAATAGGGACAGCAAGCAAGATATAAAGGCAATATTTTCCAAGACAGTTAAATCCAAAACTGTACTGGAATGTATAAATACCATTAATGATTTGTCACAACAACGACCTGTACGAATTATATGGGTACCGGGTTACCAAGGAATCATAGGCAAATCAACTAGCCAGGAATGCTACTGCACAACCCACAATAGATGTGAATACCGCCAAACCCTTTAGCGAAACACGCCAAGAAATGAGGGAATGGGCGAATGAGACCCACAAAACCCTTTGGGATAATGAGGGGACAGGTAAAATCACCAAAATCTTTTGGGGCGACCTAAGAGAAGACAAAACTAACCATGTATTCTGATGGGACACCTCAGCCTGAAGGCACATCTACTCAAGATTGGATGCGAAGATAGCAAGATGTGCAGAGCGTGTGGGGAAGACAGTGAAACGCTGGAACATTTCCTGTACCATTGCCCAGCATTTACATGCCTTCGGAGACAATTCTTGGGAAATGACACACTTCACGGACTACCTGATCTGAGAGGGTATGAATGGAGAAGATTGAAGGAACTCGCAAAAACACGGAATTCCAAGATTAAGGGGACACCTCCTTTCACGGGGTCAATTTTTTTTTGATTTAATTCGAATCTACACTAATTCAAGAATTTCCCTACAAAATTTAAAGTGAACATCTCAAGAACTCTTGAAAATATAGCCGATTTATTGTGTCAGTATCAAGTGACGGCTAAAGGGCTTCTCAAACTTTAAACGCGTTTTTCTCTTTTGCGAATGACGGGCACAATAACTCAAAAATTAATAACCCAATCGATTCCAAATTTTTACAAGTTTCTCTGTGAGTGTATAGCTATCGTATGAACTAGGATAAAGCCAATCGGTGAAGATCTTCCTCATTTTTTAACTTGGTTTTTGGTCAAAAATCGGCGATTTTCCAAAAATATTTTTTTAAAGGTCCGCCATTTTGTTAATTTTAGAGCGAAGTCAATAATCCTAGTTCATACGAGAGCCAGACATGTACTCTTTCTAACACCGTTGGAATTTTCGGATACCGATGTTCCAGTGCGGAGTTATCATGCCCGCCATCAAAAATAAGGACTTCTCTTTAATTACAAAAAACAACAACAAAACAATTACAAAATTTTTTTGTAAATTATTTTTCTTCTCTTTTGAATCTTCAAATATATATGTGGAAAGTTACAAACATTAACAAACATTGGTATTGATTTACCAGCCCATTCTTGAAAAATTTAAATCGAGAATGGGTGGGGTTCCCTAAATGTTTTTAATATAAACTTTCTCCGCATTTTTAGAGGGCACAACAGGCCTCAATTGGCTTATGTGTATGTCCTTCTCATGTTGGACATGTGGTGGTATCATCCACCCCTCTTTTCAACCTAATCTAACATATTTTTCTCACAAAATATCGTTTTAGGAGGATGGTATAAGGAACAAAAATATTCTCCATAAATTTTTATCATAAGTCACTGAACACTATAAATCTGTATATATAATATATATAACGAATATAGAGTCCTACATTTTGAACAAAAAATTCAAAATGTTCTTGTATTTTTTTTTTCAAAGACATTTGTCAGTACTCTTTTCGACTAAGCGCGTTAAAGTATCATGAAATTTAATTTTAAGGTATATTATGTCAAAGAATCAAATATTCTACGTCAAATTCCACTGCCCAAACACAGTTCCAAAACAAACTATATATTTATATTCATTAATTTTTATGAAATTTACAGTATAAAACCAGTGAGCGGAGCAGTATAGTCGGACGGGGCCGACCATACGATACCCTACACAACTACCACGAACTCTAACTTTCTGAGGATGTTTATTCCGAGTCTGAGTAATATTTCCTGATATTTGCCCCCTCTTGTACAGTCCTTCTAATTACTTGTCCAGATTAAATTTCGGATCAAATTGTGATTTTCGGATTATACTCTACTCGAAAACACACAAAAAATTATGTTTTCGGTCCATTTCATCCCAAAATTTTAATCTGATCATCACCGAAAATTGTAGGCGTTGTTCTTGACCATAACTGGAACTTCATGAAAAATTTCAAAGCCATCAGCGCGATATTTCTCGCTTTAATGTGGTAGTGGATTACTAAATAATATCTGAATACGTAAGCACATGTAAATATTTGACTGTAACTCCCACATCTATATTTGGTATCAATTTAAAGGTCAACCACTCCTCTTGGATATGTTATCAACTCCTAGGGTCTACATCCTCCAGGAGTAAATATATATGCCATAGAATACAAATTTTGTCATTTTTCACACAGAAGTCTGGGTCCATTTGACCCGCTAAAACATGCACGCTTATTCTCTGACCCGATCCCCTTTTCCATGCAAAAATTCGCGGTGTTTGGG